AGGGGCTATAGTCTCAGGGGTTTCACCAGGCTCTATTAGACCAGCAAACATAGTCGCTTTTTTTTTTTAATGATTTTGAGTTTTATTCCACGTTCTTCTCCCTCTCTATCCAGAATGTTCTACATAGATCCCCCTCCGAGTGGTTGACAGTGGTAGCTGGGCACTATGTAGTTCTTCTGGTCTGATAGTTGCATAGTCTGAGGATCATGTGGTGTACCAGACACTTAGATTAATTGTTTCCATGAGTCCTTGGTTTTCTTCATTCTTCTATGCTCTGGACAAGGAGAGACCCATTGTTGCATCGAGATGGCCACTTGGCAAGCTTTTAAGATCCCTGTCACTACTCGCCAAAGTAGGACGTGGTACAATGTTTTTGTGTAGTATGTTATGCCAGTTGAGCTTGATGTCCCCTGCAACCATGGTACTGAGCCCACAGGTCCCTCTGGGTACCTGGCTGTGGCCAGGAAGTGACTACAACCTTGTCCCTTGTCAACTCTACTATACACCTGGGAATTCTTACAGAACATACAAATACACTTGTAGAAACATTGTCTGCCAACCCTATACATGGTTATGGGCACAATTCCCCCTGCGTAGATATGCCTAGTAGTTAAGCCTGTCCACCCATAGATCAGTACTTGGCATCACTGACAACACAGTACTGTATGTACAAAAGGGTTCATCTTTATTGTCTGTACCTCCTGTGCACCTCTCTATGTCTTTCTCTAACTCAGTGCCACCGTGTTGATCACTCACATTTGGTACATTGCCCTTCCAGAAGATTGTTTTTAATGTTTATTTAAAATCCAATAATTTTACTAGGCTATCTTTCAGTGTGTGTCATTCTGAGCCAGTTTTTCTAAATAATCTGTCCCTACACTTATTCCTGTATATCCTCAGTCTTTAATCTTTCTAAAACATAATTATGGCATACCTCTATTCTTAAGTATAAAAAGTTTGTAAAGCATAAAATCAGGGCTTCAAGCAAGTTCGTTCTGGTTCAACTCCCTGGTGAAAGTTTGCATTTGCATTCCAGGTATACTGACTCAGAATCTACATTTTAACAAGATCTCCAGGTGAATCTTATATATCTATAAGATTCTTATAGATATGTAAGATTCTTATATATATATGTATAAGAATACATATGCATAAAAAAATTTAAATTGTAAAGTTGGATCTTTTTCTAGGAAACAAAGGAAAATAACCTGTTTTATTCAATTCTGAATTATTTCTATCTTTTTGGCTTTATTGAGTAATACATAATAATATACATAATACATAATAATAATGACCATGCAAAGAAAAAAAAAAGAATTAACATATGACTAAAAGGGAGGAAAAAAAGAAGGGTCAACCGATATTAGCTGCCCAGAAATAAGTTTTATGTGTATTATTTATTCTAGAATGTTTTTCTATAAGGTATATAGAATTATTTTTATAAAGAGGCTTATTTTAAACATACTGTTTTGTACTTTCTTTTTGTACTTAGGAATGTATAACTTTTTCATATCTCTAAAATTTTTTAATGGCTGCATAGATACCCCATAACTAATTTAACCAGCCCCTTTCATTGATCATTTAGATCATAGGTAATTTTTCAGTTCTATAACCTACAGTGTGATAACATTTTTATAGCTATATTTTTCTGCCTACCCATGATTTTTTTCTTGGATAAATTCTTTGAATGGAATTAATGGGTCAAAATACTGACAAAGCACTCCTGAATTTTCTACTCCATACCGTACTTCTTTGAATATGCTACTCAGATTCCACTTGTGGCAAATCACTTAGCAATACTTGCAGATAGGGATAAACATTTTGATATCATCGTTCAGAAAACTACTTTCCTTCTTATTGATTTAACTTCCTTCTATTTGAGGAGCCAGGGGCTCCGCCTGAACACTAAAACAGTAGAGACTCACTCCTGGTCTGTTATGTTAGTGATCATAAAGATCAGAGTTGCCAAACCTCCACTTCTATAAAAGGAGTAAAATTAGGATACATCTGTAATAGTTCATGGTATGCTTTTGATTGAAGTCTACTAATAATTACCCAGGGCTACATCTTATAAAGTTTAAAAAAAAAATCATAACTACTTAACTGCTATTTGTAGAGTCTTTGAAGAGACTAGGTCCTCGCAGACAGGAAGAACTTTTTTTTTTTAATTGTGATTTGGGTGAAAGTTTACAGAGCAAATTGATTTTCCATTCAACAGTCCATACACATTCTATTTTGTGACATTTACTGCGATCCCCACACTGTAACAACATTCTTCCCATTTCCTTCCTGTGCCTACCCCTTCTCTTCATTCATTCTTCCCATGCCCTCCTGCCTTTCTAGCTCTGTCATTGATTTCATATGCTTGATTGCTGTAATGAATGTATACCTCCCTAGTATTACTGTTCACGTTATAGGTCCATCTGTCATTTTGCTGTTAGTTGAGTCACGGAGGTTAAGTTCAGTTCCTATCTTGAAGGGTGTCTAAGGGCTATAGTCTTGGGGGTTCCACCAGTTTCCTCAGACCAGCAAGCCTGGACTCTTTTTTTTTTTTTTTTTTTAGGATTTTGAGTTTTGTTACACATTTACCTGCACTCTATCCAGGACCTCTTATTGTGATCCCTTTCAGAGCAGTCAGCAGTGGTAGCCGGGCACCATCTAGTTCTTCTGGCCTCAGGGTTGTGGAGGCTGAGGTTCACATGCTCCATTAGTCCTTTGGACTAATTGTTTCCTATGTCTTTGATTTTCTTCATTCTATTTTTGCTTAGTATCAGGTGAGACCAATAGTTACACCTTAGGTGGTCACTCAGGACAGGAAGAATTTTGAGGAGCAAGTTAGGATTATATAGAGCAATTTTACAGGTGAGTATGATGGGAGTGGGGGAGAAAAGAGTATTTATTACCATTGTACTGTTTTTGGTAGTATATTTATGTTTGATTAAAATTCAAACAAATAAGATAACAATATAACTATAGCTCCATGGGAGAAAGATGTGACAGCCTGCTCATGTAATGATTACAGCCTTGGAAACTTAATGAGATATTTCTACTCTGTCACATGGAGTCACTATGAGTTGAAATAGACTCAGTGGCACCTAATAACATATCTATACTATATATGTTGTATTCACTTCATTTTTGTAAGAACTTTATTGAGCTATACACTCACATACCATACAATTCACCCATTTAAAGTGTATAATTCAATGAGTTTTAATCTATTTACAAGCTGTTCAACCAATTCTAGAACATTTTCATTACCCCAAAATGAAATCCTATATCATTCACTCATTCTCCCCAATCTTCATCTCCCAGGCAACCACTAACCTTCTATCTGTCTCTGTGTATTTGCCTATTCTGGACATTGCATGTGAATGGGATCATACAATAATATGTGGTCCTTTAAGACTGGCTTCTTTCATTTAACACAATGTTTTCAAGATTCATCTGTGTTGTATATTTTATCAGTACATCATTTCTTTTTATTATTGAACAATTGTATGTACATACCAGATTTTATTCATCTGTTTATCAGTTGATAGATGTTTACATTTTTTTTACTATTACGAATAATGCTGCTATGAACATTTGTATACAAGTTTTTATGTGGATGTGAATTAATTTTTTTATCGTTATAAAAATATATAAAACAAAACATTTGCCAGTTCAACATTTCCCAGGTATACAACTTAGTGATATTAATTACATTAATCATGCCATGCAGTCACCACCCATAATCATTGCCAAATTGTCCATTACCATAAACAAGCATTCACTGCTTCTTAAACAATGGCTTTCCTTCTCCCCATTCTTCCCACGCTTGGTAGTCACTAATAAACTTCAGGTTTTCTCCATTTGACTGTTCTTGTTATTTTATTTGAGTGAGATCATGCAAAATTCCTCCTTTTGTGATTGACTTACTTCACTGAGTATAATGTTTTCGTGGTTCATCCATGTTGTAGCATGGATCAGGACTATGGCCAAGTAGTATTCCATTTGTAAATACGTACTGCGTTGTGTTTATCCATTTTCTGTTGATGGACACTTAGGTTGTCTCCACCTTTTGGCAATTGTGAATAATGCTGCAATGAACATTGGTGTACATGTGTCTGTTTGTGGTGCTGCTTTCAGGTCTCTCGGTATATACCTAGGAGCTCTGGTGGTGTAGTGCCTGAGGCATTTTACTGCTAACCAGAAGGCTGGTGGTTCAAACCCACCAGCCACTCCTAGGAGGGAAGATTATGCAATCTACTTCTGTAGTGATACCGCCTCGGAAACCCAAGGAGGGGTCAGATCTGACTCCACGACGGTGAGGGTTTTTTTTTTTTTTTTTGTATATACCTTGGAGTGGAATTGCTGGGTCATATGGTTAACTTTTTTGAGCAATTGCCAAACTGTTTTCCACAGGAGCTATACCATTTTGTATTCTCATTAGCAATGGATAAGCGTTCCAGTTTCTCTACATCTTCACAAACATTTGTTATTTTCCGTTTTTTTTAATCGTAGCCATCCTAATGGGAGTGAAGTGTTACCTCATTGTGGTTTTGACTTGCATCTCTTTGATAGCTAATTTTTTCATGTGCTTGTTGCCCATTTGAATGTCCTCTTTGGAGAAATGTTTAGTCAAGTCCTTTGCTCATTTTTTTGATTGGATTGTTTATCTTTCAACTGTTAAGTTGTGGAATTTTTATTTAATTTTTGACTAGAACCTTGTTGGATATATAGTTCCAAAGGATTTTCTTCCAATCTATAGGTTGTCTCTTCACTTTCTTGATAAAGTTCTTTGATGAACAGAAGAATTTAATTCTTATGAGGTCCCATTTATCTGTTTTGTCTTTTGTTGCTCATACCTTTGTTATAATACCTGATAACCCATCATTAAAAACTAGTACCTGCAGCCACATCCCTGTGGTTTCATCTAAGAATTTTATGGATTTCCTTTTCACATTTAGGTCCTTGATCCATTTTGACTAATTTATTTTAATACTTTTTTCCCCCAGTGTCTTTCTCGAGAAGCATGTGGAAACATGAAAATTCAGTTTCTTGGTACAGTGGTAAGTATGAAAGAATCATTACTTTGTGTATTTTGTTAATTTACTGAGGGAAAAACTATTCAACTATTTTGAGTCCCTCTGTCTCAACTTAACTTCGTCATAGCATTACTATGTTGTAAAATGGAGGTGTGTTTTGTGTTAAGAAGTGGATTTTCCAATCATTGAGAGAAGTTTTCATGATTCAGTTATTTTAGTCACTTTTTTTGTAGAGATAAAATAGTTTTTAAATTATTTGCATTTTATTCAATACTTTGAGTACTTTCTTATTGCAGATTTTCTTCCTGTTCTTAAAACAAAAATATGATACATAAATGTACTTCTGGAACTAAATGACCTTGATTTGTTTTGCTCAGTTTTCTTTTTAGCTTTCTTTATTAGGTCCTTTCAAATCCACATTGCTAATGAAATCTTGATTTTATTTTTTTCACCTATGAGCCTATTAATTATTTTCTGTTTGCTCTAAAATATTTATAGTAGTCATTTAAATGGATCTATATTAACATTCTGTTGAATAAATATGACATATTTTGCTTATCTATGACTCTCAATTGTCAGGTATTCCAGTCACCTCTAATTTTTTTGTCATTACATATGATATTCTAGTGAACAACTTAATGTGTTTTGCTTTTCTGGTGTTCTGAATTATTTTCATAAGATAGATTTCCTCCTGAACAGAGTCGACTCATCAAGACTATGAATAATAATAAAATGTTTTTATATACATGTTGTCAATTATTTCATATCTCTTTAGAATATCAAAGATCACATATTAGAATATCAATTTGATTGTACTTTCCCTGGTATTATTTATCATTTTTAAAATGATTTAACTTTATCTGATGAAAAGAGGTTTTATTTTATTGTCGTTCTTCTATGCCATTGAGTTGATTCTGACTGATAGTCCACTGCCTTTGAGTTGATTCCAACTTACAACAACCCTGACCCTGTATGTCAAAGTAGAATTATCCCATAGGGTTTCCTAGACTGTAATCTTTATGGAACAGATCACCAGGTCATAACTCCTGTAGAGCCCATGTATTGCTGACCTTTTTGTTAGAAGCTGACCTCTTAACCATTGCAATGCCAGAGCTCCTCCTTTATTTTATTAGTTAATATAAATTTCAAAATTATTAAACTGGTAAAACAAAGGCACTTTATTGTTTTAATTTGCATTTCTCTATTTATTTTTATTCTTTTAAAATATTTCTCCATGAATATGAAGGGAACTCTGGTGGCATAGTACCTAAGGCATTTGACTGCTAACCAGAAGGCCACTGGTTCAAACCCACCAACCACTCCTTGGAAGGAAGGTTGGGCAATCTACTTTCTTAGTGATACCCCCCAGAAACGCAAGGAGGGGTTGCTGTGAGTCGAATCTGATTTGACGGCAGTGAGTTTGGTCATGAATATCAATAGGTATAGTTTATAATCTGTAGAATGTCTGTTCATGTCCTTTGGACACCTTATTTAGGATATAAATTCACAGTGGGTATTTCTGATAGCTCTGTAATTAAGTTGAGAATATCAGAGGAGAGTCTTCTGGCTTGGACCAAAAGTGAAAATTTTGTAGCCATTGAGTTAGAAGGGATATTAATAATAATATACATTCATACTGCATATATATATATATGTTGTTGTTAAGTGCTGACAAATTGGTTCTGACTCATAGTAACCTGTGTACAACC